CCGGGGCGGCGCGCCCGTGCCCGCTGCCGGGGCTGCGGCTCTGCGGCCCACAGGCGGCAGTTTGGGGGCGGCGTCTCTTCTGAGGTGACCGTACGTCTTTCTCCTCAAGCACGAGCCTGGGGTGACTCTGTTTAAAATGTTTGACACCACTGGCTTTGAACGCGAGGTCACCCCCACGAAGATCAGCTCGGCGTCTTCATTCCTGTGCTCTACCCCCACGAAGATCAGCTCGGCGTCGTCACTGTCGGCTCGCTTGGCCTCCCGGGCCGTCTGCGGCTCGGGCGCGTCGTCTCCGGCCAGCAGACGCGGGCGCTCCATCTCCCAGCGCTCTCCTGCCCGAGTGGGTGGCCGCGACCCCCAGCGCCTCCCGTCTCCAAGCCGCGTCCTAAGCACAAGCACACGGCACATCAGTGACACAGAAAACGCCTGGTCTTACCCCGTGTCCAGGCTCAGGCCGCAGGGGCGCCCCGGGGCTGAACGCCAGCTCGGCACCGAGCTTACAACCGTCTAGAATCAGAGTTTCGTCCTACACTGAGTCTCTAGTGGTAAAACAAAGCCCAGTCACCAGGTGAGATCATACGTAAAGGACAAACGCGTCCCAGGGACGGCGCAGCTGCACGCGGCTCGGACGGAAGCCGGCTCCGGCGGGGCTAAGCTGGGCCGGCACCGGCCAGCTGCATCGTCTCTGGCAGGACGTTCTTTTATGCGCTTCTGGACCTTACAGGCAGACTTCTGACTTCGTGAACGTGGTAACAGCTCTTTTGAAAAGCTGCAACGGCAGCTTACTGCACAGAACCAGAAGCAGCTTTATCATAGATGCGCACTTCTCACCTGACCCACACATCCGAGTTTGGCTAAGTATCAATATGGAAAAGTATCAAATTTAATTATCAGCATGCGAGTCTTCACACAGTCAACAAAGAGCACAATTCAAAGTCACGTACTCAGCACGCGCCCGGCCTATGTCGGGCACGGACTCTCCTGGGAACCTCAGCCCAGCCCAGGCCTGCGCAGAATCCGTTCGCCGACATCTGCTGAACCGACCCAGCCCGTCCTGGCTGCCCGGTGACCTGCAGCCCACAGTGCTTCCTCCGTCAGCCACCCGTCTCTCTCCACATGGCAGGCAAAGGTATTTGGCTAAAACAAGCCTGAGGCTGTACGGGTTGGCCCAAGCCTCGCGGGGCTGTGCGGCTGCTCCTTGAGCGGGCAGGCGCCTGCCCTCGGCCGCCGGCTGGGCACCTTCTGTGGGTCCTCCTCTCCCACGCGCCTGCCGCTGGCCACGCGAACCTCCTGCTGTTTCTTGGACACACGAAACGACCTGCCCCGCTCAGGGCCTTTGTATTTGCTGCTCCCCTACCTCACTCTCCTCCAAGCCTCCTCCTCAGAGAGGCTCGTAAATACTTCAAACAGCCGCTCCCTCAGGTTTCCAGCCTCTCTTCACTTCTGCTTCATTTTCAGCCCCGACCCCACCTCCCACACTGTCCACCTGGTCTTCATCGCTTCCCATTATTTATCCTATAAAACCTTAACTCCAAAAGCAGGGGCCGACCGTTACTGACGATCGCATCCCCGGAACAAAGCCCAATGCCTGGCACAGGCGCTCCGCATACACAATTTGTTGAAGAACCTGTATTTACTGAGCAGATGGTGACCCGTTAATTCGACCTTGTCAGAAATTCTGTAGGCCAATATTATAATTAAAGCTGTTAACCCCTCCCCCCAAATTTAGGATCATGACTTCAAACAAAAAATGCTGGTAATTTTTCTGGAGACCATGAAAATAACTGCCCTGACTACACAGGACATTTATTTTGATATTTTGCTTCACTTTTCTTAAATTATCATCCACAAAATCAATTAGGACCCATCAATGGATAGGTGGTTTGAAACAACACTGGCTTAAAACTAACAAGATGTCAACGAAACCCCAGTTCGGAACGCAGCCACTCCTCACTGCCAGTCCCCCAGCACGGGCCGAGTCGGCGCAGCCCAGTTTATAAGTCGGGGGCCCCCGACGTACCTCTCGGTGATCGGGGCGCTGGCATGTAACTCCGGAGCCCAGAGCCGTTCACTGCTGAAGACGTGGCCAGTCTGGAAGTGAAACACCAGCATCAAACTCAGTTACGGCTCCCTGCACTCTCCACGCACTGCCCCTTCCTCGGCTTGCCCAGCCCGAGGCGGAGGCGGCCGGTGCGCGAGGTCGTCTGTCAGGATGCTGCCAGGAGTCCGATTCTCGACCTTCAAAACTAGGCTGAAGCACACGAGCAGGAGCTGCGCAGTGCAGAAAAACACGGTTTCCGCAGGCGCCGCCCTTTGGAACCAATGGCAACGGGCCCAGTCTAGCGCCTTCAGCTGCCCCCGCTCCCTCCGGGCCCAGGCCGCAGCCCGGCTGGTCAATGAGTTGCTGACACTCCGGAATGTGTCGGACGCAGCTCAGAGCCTCCGCGCACGAGACCACCACAGCAGCCCGGTGCGGCACCCGAGGAGGTTCTACGGGCAAACGTGCGCCGACCCACAGCTCTCTCAGGATCCCTGACGGGACTCTCGGCAATTCTGTGTGCACGCCACAGCCCTCAAGGTAAAATTATAAAGCGCAAACATCCCAAGGCGATTTGAAAATTAACACGGTTGTCTGAGAATGGGCTTGAAAGCCTGGACAAGTTTACGATTCACCTAGAGCTACGTGCAGTGCATGTGGGGTCTGGAGATGAGATTGCTGAGTTCGAGTTCCGTGCTCTTTCCACCAGAGTTCCGCATGCACGTACGGTAATGGTGCCATGAGCTGCTTAGTCTAAGGACCAAAGTGCCTCACTGATCCACTTTTACTCTCATTTTATCACCCCGGCTCAAACTGCACCCGCACTATAGCCCGTCAAATTATCACAAAGCTTGTAAGTGCTTCTAAGTGGCATTTTGGAGCACTGGCCATTCTCCCTACCCTCTAATTCTACCACAGCATCTCCCCACTGCTTACAGGTTTAGAGCACTGATTATTGTTCTAGGTTCCAAAGTATCCTGTCTTCCCTGTCCTTCAGATTATACATCATGTCACTGTGAATCCTCAAATGTCACTATAATTGTATCACTCCTCTATTCCCGTGTTCAAGGATCCCTTCAATCCTAAATTGTGTCCCTCCAAAATTCATGTTGAAGTCCTACCACACCATGTGGTGACATCTGAGAGAGGTCCTTGGGGAGGTTAATTAAATCCTCACATCACTGCTAGGTTCTGGGAAAGTGTGACTTTAAGCAAAGTGAATATGCAGGAAGCAGGTCCTGCAGTCACGTCACCCTGTTCGCGTGGGCTGGTCTGGCCTTTGCTGATCCCGTCTCTCAATATTACAGTGCAATGACTTGGAAGAGGCCTTCTTCAGCAACCTGCTACAATTAGGTTTAGGTGAGTCAAGGGAGTAGGTGGGGCCTTACGATGGCACCAGGGGACACTAAGGGGACGTCAGAGCTGTGTCCCCTGTACGCGGGGACAGTAGGAGGCAGGTCTACAGCGGGAAGGAGCCTCACTGAGGAACCAAGGCAGCAGGCACCTCGGTCCTGGCCTTCCCAACCCCCAAACTGCTAAGGCGACAACAGAAATGGGCCAAGAAACCGGGTGACAGACTGGCCTTGCAGGGCACGGCTACAGATATTTGGGGGACAAATGGAGAACCCAGCAAATCCAAGGCTGTGGGACTGGAGGAGGCTTGGCACATCTAAGAGTTGGCCAGGAAGCTGGCAGAGGCTGACCAACGCAAAGGGAGAGGCTGGGGTGAGGGCAAAGAATGCCGTCGAGGCGGGGGAGGCAGGGTCAGGGCGTCAGCGTGAGCCATTCCAAGGTCCCTGACTCTGTCTGTGAAGAGCGGGGACTGGGCTGTTCCCAAGAGTGATCTGTGACTTTCACGGCAACAGGGTCATGCTGGCTGCCGTGTGGAATACAGACTTTAGAGGATAATACTGGAAGCAGGTAGACAAGAGGCTACTGAAGCCACACAAAAGTACCAACAGAGTAGAAAACAGCAGTTTCCCAGAAGGGTCAGAGTCTAGATCAAATCTTGAAGGTCAACACGAGTTTCTGGTTTGGGATATAAAGGAAAGGGGTGACATGCAGGAAGCAACACCAAGTCGTTGGACACATGAGACAGAACTCGGGGGTCTGAGCTAAGCAGAAGAACTCTGGCGTCTCCAGTGTGCGCTGTTACTTAAAACACAAGAATGAAGGAGATCACCACTGCCCTGACACAGAAGTCCAGGACGCTCCAGTTCTCAGGTGCCAGAGAACTGTGACGAAGCCAAGATAGGGAAAAGGAAAAGTTACAGTCCTTCAGCACAAGGAGAAAAGAAAAAAGCTGCATCCTGGCATCCAAATGATAACTCTCAGGAAGAAATGAGCAACTGTATTAAATGCTGCTGATGAATCAAATAACATACAATGGAAGACTAGACATTAGATTAAGCACCATGGAATTCATTGGTGACCTGGATAAGAATGGGAGAACTAGAAATTACAAATATGGGCAACCTCATAGAAACTTTCCTGTTACAACAAGCGAATAAAAGTAAAATGAATTTTAAGATAACACAAGCAAGGGGCCTCAGAGGCTGGGTTTCTAATGAGAAGCAACATCACCTTCAGGCTGTTTCATCATCCAGGGAAACAGCAATGCAATCCAGGATAAAAAGGTGACTTGCTTGAATAGTAACTCTGGTTAACCAAGAATTGCTTGGGTCTAGTATACAAGCAGAGATTCTAGCTTAAAGCTGGAGCCAAGTAATCACTCGTAAGAGCAGGACAATGTCTGCGCTCACATGGCGAAGGCTGGAGCAGTGGGCAGTGCACCAGCCAGACTTCCAAATGGCCCCCAAGGAAGTCCACCTCCTGGGACTCTCTCGTGTGGCCTCCGCTCACACTGCCTGAGACCGACCAATACAGCAGGAGCAATAGCATGGGCCCTCTGAGAAGGCTCAGAACCTCACCCGTGTGCAAGCTCCCGGGGGAGTCATTCTGGGGGCAGCCAGGAGTGAGTGGAGAGAACCTCCATCAGAAGTCAACTTTCCATAGGTGGCGGATCCGGCCATGAACTTGGCCATGAACTTGCATACGAGAAATACTGAGCTGGGATCACCCAACTAAACTATGCGTTCCAGACTTGCTTCATTTATGAGTTAATAAACATTTGTCATTTTAAACTTTTAAGTTTGAGATAATGTGTGACAGAATAATAACTAGACGGTGGTTGTCGGTGAACCATATACAGAAATTGCTGGGCAGACCACTTAACTGCAACCTTGCCTGATGACATGAGACGAATTCAGGCGGCCTCCAGTACCCAGCTGTGTTCAGTCTTTGCATGAAGCAAAGCCCATGAGCAACTGGCTTCAAGAAATGGATACAGAGAACAAACCCCATGGAATTATTTGAACCAACACGTGTCTGCCCTCAATGAGCCATTTCACACATTAGCTGAAGTCTAAGGGTATTTTATCAGCTTGTTCTAACCCTAAGATACAGTAAAAGTAGTTCATTTATATAACTTAAAATCCATGTATATAACTTAAAATTCATGGACCTCTTGATTCTTTCTGGAAAGTAGGCGAAAGAATGCCACCACCAGCCTTCCCTTTTCTTTTCCTTTTTTCTTTTTTAATTTCTCATCCTCACCTTTTTCAACAAAGTGACTCAGAAGGCTCCAGAATGATCTACATCAATGGCTGGCCTGAACTTCTCGTACACATTCAGATCAGACATACTGAGGAGACACTGTCTCACTGGAAATTAATGTTCTAGCACAGGAGAAAACATGAGAAAAGAACAACAACAACAAAAAAAAAGATACAGCCTTGATCCTTATTATAAAGACCTCTCTCATCTTACCTTAAGTGTGCGCTGAAATGTCTAAGACACCAGAATATTCCAGGCAGGTGATCCCATCCTTGAGGCAAAGGGGTCAAGGGTCACTTAGATGTGTCTGCCTGGCATGCGGGTGTTTTATCAAACATCTCACCACGCTGAAACAGAAAAGAGAACTGAATTCTTTCCCCACAAACCTGTTCCTCCAGTCCACCCCACCTCAGTAAAAAAAAAAAAAAAAATTGCAAACCAACCTAACCAAAAGTCTTGAAAATTCACCCTCGCTCCAGGATTAGGGACCTCACGGGGTGTGGTGGGGTGGGAGGCTGCACTATAAACCAGGTAAAGATAATGCGAAAAACAGCCACGACTCTGTAAGGGGGGGTCCCCAGGAAAAGGGGAGGTGCCAGGTTCCCGGCCCCACCCAGAAGGAGGGTGGGCCAGGTTTGGGGGTTCAGGGGTGGCCCTCTCTCACTACCTGTACCACCGCCCAGGCAGCGAGGCCAATAAACTGATTTTTAAATGCTTTAACGGACAGCTGGGCCCACAGGAGTCCAGAGTTACAAACTGGCCGGCCAGCAAATGCATCGGGTTCCACGGCCCCTCGGGGGCCCCCACGCGCGCGGGGCGGGCGC